GCGTCAAAGATTAACATGAATTAATTAAAATAACATTCAAATGTTAATTAAGCGTGGAAATGAGTCCCAAACATAAGCTAATTATTGCTCCTACCTCGGCGACGGCGCTCCCCGCAGTCAGCGGAGAAGCTAAAATAAAAGCCACCATCCTCCTCCGTAAGTCAATTTTAGAGCGGCCGAGTGGGCCGATGCGGGGCCACCAAACTGAGGTGAGACGTGGCTAGCAATTGCAAACTGCCATAGAAATCAATATCTTAAGACGTACAATATGGGATGATTACTCTGAAGCTGGAGTGAAAGCATGAGTAGATTGCAAGAAACGAAATGCATAGATTGGTTGAATTATGTACAATAGGCACAGCTCAGATGAAGCCATTTCTTTGATGTTGACATTTGACATAACCCTTCCTCTCCTCACCTATATGACTTAAGTACGTTGGCAGTTACCGGCATAGTTTTTTAGCACGAGTGTAATTCGCCATCGGACCGCAATGCATGTTGCTAGGCTGCTGCAATTACAACGAACATACGAATACTGCCTTCATTTGTAGACGTTTGTTTTTTAGGCGGTCTTTGACGTACAAGGGTGAAGGGGGCATACCTGTCGACAACTTGAGTTTCTCCGAATTTCAAAAACTCCCAGAATTTCAATTCCTTATGCACTGTTGTAGGTACAGCTATGTTCACAAGTTTTCGTTTCCTCCTGCTCTAAAAAGGATGATATTTGTCGATTTCGTGCGTCGCTGATAGAAGGGTGCGTTTAATAATTAGGCCCAACGCTTTCTGCATCCGCGAGTACCTTGAAAAGGGAACAACAGTTTCCATTTATTACACTATGGGACAAGTGACAAAATGACCACTGCAACATGCATGAAACGGAGCTCATATTCCTAAAAATGTCTACAATCACTTCTTTTCTGACACTATTAGCAAATACCATCTCAAGTTAGGTGGTTGACAGTCAATGGAGATCTGGGGAGACTGAGACTGAGTGATGCCAATTCACCACTTAACTGATAATGAGGGCCGAGGGAAGAGAAACATGCAACATGCACAACTGACAGCTTGACAAGTGACAAAACACTACCACTATTGCGCAGTGCACAACAAATTACAGCAGCCAGCCCAAAAAATGCTTTTGGTGGCTAATTGCAAAACAAGTCACTAATAAATGTCTTAGTTGCAGCTGAACACTGCACAATGATCACACTGTTCACACATTGAGTGAGATGCCACAGGTGGTTTGAATCACACTTTGGTACAACTGCAAATCTGAAGTGTTGTCATGAGGTTCATGCCTCCATGATCACAGCACTTTGGTTGTGGTTGGCATAACACTTGTAGTCTGCAGAGTTCCACATGAACTGCAGACACCTCATCTGGTGGTCTTCATGTTGCTCAACTTCTTCAGGAGGCAAATGTCGACAACCCAGCGGAAGCATGGTCCTGCAGAAAAGAAAGGTAATGCATAAGGTACAAACATTATCTGCTGAAACAGCCCCTTCTGTTTGCTATTATATAAACTTTTAACATAACAACACGTATTCCATGTATATTACATTTGTTGAAGTAAAATACTGCCGGCTATTTCAAAACCAGAAAATGAAATTATATTGTGGCATAATTCACATGCTCAGCTATCAGTATCAAATTATAAATTAATTTAAAATTTGGCATATTCTATATAACACATTCATAGAATATTCTACTTCACGTCACAAAGACTCACAATCTTTCTGTTGGGTGTTTGATTGACGCATTAACTAAGTTTGTCTTAGGTTTTATTATTGCAAAAAATTCATATTGCATTATTGTATCAAAATACTGCCAGCAATAACAAAACAAGAACATGAAATGTCAATGAGCAAGCCGCCTTTCCTAAAAATGGATTACTTTGAAAAGAATTTTAGTTTCTTTTAAGGAAAAGGAGAAATGATTATCAGGTAATTATCAAAACCACTCAACCAGCAAGTGGCTGGGTGGTTTCACAGCAAACATCAAGCCAAAACATATGCTTACATTTATCTAACAATTGAGCCATTTGACTACACAAGGATATGTGAGCAAAATAAGAATCCAATTATCCAATGTTGACTTCCTTGCAAAGTTTATGCCTTATTTTATGAAAATGTGTCACTAGAATATGATACTTATCATCGAATATTATTTAATTTACGATTTATTTCGATCGGAACGCACATGGAGTTCCGCGCCATTTTCGTCGACGATGAATATGATCGTGTTTCATGAAGAGATAAGGGGTTTCAATGGTCTTTCAAAGCAATAATTTGATGCAAAAATGTGTAGGAAATAATATAAAGCTGGTTCAAATGGCCATCAACCATTTAAAACACCGAAAATACTCACAACTCCGTCCCGACGACCACGAAGCACCGCGCACGCCACACTACTGGCACAATGCCAAAACTGCTGTCACAGCAGAAATGTTTTTTTTTCTCGATTGCAATTGTGGAATTATTTATTAAACAGAAGATGATCTTTCCGAAAAACCGACTGATTTCATACACAGATGCATGGATAATAAAAAAATCCCGGTAAGTTTATTCGTATTGTTTTGTCGATTTTGACATGCTCCTAGTTTGCAGCCATATTTCGATATGTTCTACAGGGAGTTCAGAATTATTTCAGGACCAATCTTTTCCTCATTCATTTTCCCGTCGATCATGAAATTTTTAGAGCGGAACAATTAGTTTCCAGGCGGTCCGAGCGGTTTTCGTGAGAAGGGTGCAAAAATCGGCGTCATTTTTAGAGCCTCGACACCAGCTCAACACAGGACCCTATGGGAGACGGTGAAGTAGCGGGAGCAATAAATAGAGCGCTCTAATTTTAGCTTATTTCCCTGGTGTGTCACCGACTGATCAGCTCTTGTCTTTCCTCTAGCGCCCTGTGCCCATTCCCCGGTCAGCCAGTCCCGCTATCCAGTTCCCATCCACCCGCGTCTTACCCAGAGTATATAAAAGCGACGGCTTACCCCCAACGCCATGACTCCTCGCAGAGTGAGTCCCTGTAATGACTCCAGTCTCACCCAAACAGCCCGTGTCTTACCTCTAGCGCCTTGTACTCCTCGGTGAGCGAGTCCCACTCCTCCAGACACTCCTCCACGGTGCCGTGCTCCATGGCGGCAACCCGTCCGTTACCTGCGGCAGCACAGCCAGTCAGTGGAGACCCGAGTATCACGAGACGCACACACGCACACTGCGCGTGTCACAGAAAACGCCGACACCTAAAGAGCAGTAGACGCACAGTGCACAGATGGTTCAGGTGTCTCTTCGCGCCCGGGTACACACACAGATTACCGGCGATGACTCTGGTCCGGTGCTGGTGGTTGCCGATCTGATAGGTGTCGCTGACGTCACCGGGCACCTACCACGCACCTCGGCGGGACGGACCAACGGGTCGGCGGTGAGCGACGGCCGGCAGCGCGTGCCACGGCAGCGCTCTGATACCAGCAGTCGCCGGATCAGACGGCCGGCGGCTGATCGTCCACCGTAAACACCCGCCTCACGCCATGGCGACAGCGGCCAGCCGCCGGGCGCCGGGGCTCCGCGTGACCCAGTCCCAGGCACGGTCCGCACCAGGGGTGGAGCACAGAGGTGTTGGCCCAAAGTGCCCAATATGGTACCAATAGCGGCGTGATGACAGGATCACTAGTGCCATTCCTTTGGTAATCACTTACCAAAGATAACATGTAAACAGTTAACCTGATAATTTGATGGTTAAACTGGGCAAGCATTGTGCTTCATGAACACATGGTTGATTTTGAAACAACACATAAAACCTATAAGAAATATTACAATATTATCTAATCTTTAGCATCAAAAATGGCATTAAAAACACTTTTAACAGTGATATTGATATTGAATCTTAATAAAAACAACTAGGAGAAAAACAACATTTTATCTGACACTATCTAAAAAAATTGCTCTTTGCCACTTAAGCTAAATAAGCTGTTTTGGGCACTAAACAAGTTACACATTCAATTTGAAGATATAAGCCTACTTTGGCATAATTCAAATTGTAATTGTAATGTTCCACAGTTTCAGTTTACATTTTTAAGATGCAAGCAAAATGATAAAACAAATGAGCCACATCTCATGCAAAGCAATAATTTAGAGAGCAACATAATATAAGAATCAGAGATTTTTTATATAAAGGTATTGTTGATGAAATTTAACAACTCATCTGAAAGAAAAATAGGTTAAAATAAAGGAAATTACGCGCATAGGAAGCCCAATAGCTCCGCCACCCGGGGGCGGTGGGGGAGGGGATCTGGACATTTCAAATAATTTACATTATGTAATGACACCCTGTTTTGATCTATATACACATCCAATGCATAAAGTGACACGTATTTCGATTTGGATCTGACCTAACATAGGTACTGAGAATTGTCGCAAAGCCCCTGCCGAAATCAGCAATGAGATAGTCAATAAAGAATGCCTCAATAAAGAATCGCCTCAAGATAGCAGTAGACTTACATTCTGGATATCAATCTGAAGCACATTATTGTATGTTCCATCACCTACCTTACGGATCAAGAGCCGACTTCAACCCAAGGCTATCTTCAACCCTCAATGCATTTCGTTTATTTCGTTAAGTTTAGATGAGTCTTCGGGGGAATAGCCTTTGCATCGGCTCTTGCATTATCTGCTAGTAGACGATAAGCGGCGCAAATTGAAGACAACTCTGCAAAAAAAGAGGTCTTTAGAGTTGACATCACAAAACCATCCCTGCTTCCTTGCCAAATTTGGACCGTTTGTAAATATCTTACTTCTGCAATAAATTTATTGATATTTTAGGCAACAGTATTCATATTCATTTCTGTAAAGGAAGCAAATGTATTATTTTCAAGTCGCACAAAGCTAATTTTCCAGAAAGCAACTTTATTTTTCGTCAGAGTTTTTGTGACGTAATCTTTTCGAATTTCAAATAAAGACGAGTCATATCATAAACAAACACTTTTTCGACACGCAATTCACACGCAATTTGTGCGCGAATCGTGGGTTTGTGTTGGTCATACCTTGGGTCATACTTTACGGCCTTGGTCATACTGATGTATTTTTCATGCATTTTTGTATACCGCGAGTGATGACATGTGTATTTATATACACTGTGCTCATTTCGGAATATTTCTGGACTAGTGGCAGGATTGCATAAGAAATTTTGGGGCACATTGGGTGTAATTTAATATTGCTCTGAAGTCTGAATTCAGCACATGGCTGCCACTGAATTTTTCAGTGTATGTTGACTGACATTTTTTTTTCACACTGGCCAACCGTATGGCCAACCTAGCAGCAGATTGATGTTCCTGAATATGCTGCTGGCAGTCAGACATTCTGTCAGCCCAAATAGGCTGCTGCAGCAGTGGATTTGCCAAATATCTGCCAGTAGCAGATCATTCTGAAGCTTGAGGTTCTGAAACTTGCCAGCCCCAAACATGCTACTACCGGCAGTGGATTCGTCTAATGTCAATGTCTGTGCACCCGCACCAGCAGCAGATCTGGGCAGATACAGTAAGCACTTAATGGCACCAGGGCCCTGTTTCACCGGTGATAGCAGCACGCTGCTTTTACACGTGTCAAATTGGGTTTCCATGGAAACATCAACAGGCCCATTGCTCCAACACTACCACAAGTGTGACGTCAGCTCGCGCAATTTGATAGCAGCGTGGTAGCAGCATCCCGTGAAACACCGTCCATGTCTACTGCAGCAGATTTGGTATTCTCTTAGCAGACGTCACCCGAGTACCGCAGCTTCTGGCCGATGATTGCAGTTGAAGTTAATGGAGCAGTGGAGACGTGCTGCTCATGCTCATGGTACCTGCAACCCCCGGAGGGTGGGGGTGGTGAAGCCAGTGCCCAGTTCTACTGTGATGTTTGGTTGATTGTTGTCTGTTGAGTTGAGTAGCAGATTGAAAGATGAAGAAAGCACCATCACCATGGAAATTTTGTTGTCTATTGATGAATGATGAGCAAGTTGTATTTTAAGGAAATATTCAAGGACAAGAACAAACTGAAGCACGAGAGACGAGAGAGTAGAGGGAGAGCCGCACCAGTAACTTAATTAAAAAAGACGTGCAATACTGGAATTACTTCATTTATGACGCTCCACCGGGATGTCTAACCCTCAGACATGTCCGTGCAGCGCCGCCCGTGGAAGAGGGTCATAGTCTCCGGTGACGTCCCATAATGTTAACTTTTTACGGCTAAAACCCTGGGATGGCATTACCTTAGGGGTGTTCACGGGCACCGCACACTGCTGCGTGCGGTGTGTGCGGTACGTCCAGCAGGCGTGGGGGTAGGGGATGGGTAGGCGGCTCTGACGTCACGGCTGCGTGCGGTGGACGGTCCGCTGTGGCCAGTCCCGACCGGCCACAGCGATCGCTGTGTGCGGTGACGCAAGGCTGACGTAGGGACGCAGTGGGCGGAGCTTGGAGGCTGTGTGCGGTCCGACCGCACACAGGGTCCGTGAACAGCCCTCTTCTCTATACAGCCTTGTCCGTTACCATGGCCACCGAGTGGCGACTGGCGGGTGGCCCCAGATCGCGAGACACCCGGAACACATCGCTCCATCGATTCTAGTGACCCCGATACTTCCGGCCCGGAACGCTCGGTCTGCTTAGTGCTTTATATGGCCTTCGTCAGCAGGTGTGCACAATATGTGTGTCATGTTAAAGTACATAAATTTTGGCTCAGATCAGCATCCAACTTTCGGAGCAGTTCATGCTGAAATTTTAGTGCAAAACCACTCAGGCCGATTTTCGGCGCATTAGGGTCTCACGGGCGTCGGGCGTAGGGATCTGTCAGACTTATCCATTCCTGACTTATATTTCATTTTATTTCAGCTGCTCTGGAGGTGGTGAGCTGAGCCATTCCAAAAAGGAAGTTGACAACTAGACACCAACTGAAAGTCACTTGATGAAGATGCTGGACAACCTTCGTTTGGAGACGCTTGTTGGACTGGGAGCTGCGTCACTTTTAGGCTATGTTCTTTGGGGTCCAAAAACTACCAAACCGAGGGCGGCGAATGCAGCAGGCAAGTTAACATGAAGTAAATGTGTGATATGTGTTATGTGGTTAGGCAGGCTGTTTCCACTAACGACCATAGTGTGCTCTAAGTAGTATATAGGTAACTTCCAACAGCCAGTTCCAGTCTTTGGATGGCTCAAAAAGAAATCATATGTTTTTGAATTCCTTGGATAAGTATGTTCTTGTTCCTTTGGCAGGAGCTCTGGCCGGCCTGCAGAACATCGGGAACTCCTGCTTCCTGAATGCTGTGCTGCAGGCTCTGGCCTCCAGCCCGGCGGTCATCAAGTGGCTGAGCAGCCCACCCTCGGCCACGGCCTCGCAGGCCCACCGGCAGCTGCGGGCCGCGCTGATCGACGTCATACAAGGTACGTCGCAAATTTATATCCCAATTTATAGTCGAATTGGGCTCTGACATGATCACGATGATTGTTCTGCTAGTGCCAGACGACGCCACTGACTTAGAGATTAAATACACATGTAATACGAAATGAGTCCCAACTATTTGTGCTCCTTCTGCTCGGCACCTGACATTTGACAACACTAAATTTAATTCAAGATCGTCTGATGAAGGCTAACAAGGACGATCTCACTTATTCGGTAGTTTTCTTCATTGAAATATTTTTTTTAATGTCGCAAGTTCCGTTGAGTCAACACCGCATTTGTAACAAGTGGGAAGTGGTAACGAACGGCTTGTGTTTCCTCACACTTGGAGAAAGCACGATTGGATTGGATTCATCCTAAGCAACCAACGGTACAATTAATAATGGAATCGTCGTAAAAAGGAAATAACTAGATGCTGGCTTGGCAGCCCTAGACAGGCCATCTGCTTATTCGGTATTGCTTCCACCATAACTTGATCAAACCTCTTGCAATCGGTATCGAAATATAGCCATTGAGTATTACAGAGTGGACACTTGTTACAAGTTATTTCGACATCACTTATCGACTTTGAAGTGACACTCACATTATACAAATACAGGCCAATCCTAGCACGGAATTGCTGACGAGTGCAGATTGGGGGGGGGGGGGGGGGTGAACGAAGCTCAGGGGCCACGCTCGAGTTTGATAGCGCTACTTCCCTACTGCGCCCCTGGGTGCTTTGACGGTTTTACCGTGATGAAATCGACATCCCGATGCAGGTGTCAGTGGGTAGTTCTTATCCCAGGGGTCAGTCTTGGCGTGACTTTTTCACCCGCGCTGTCCCCTGAGACGTCTGTCACACTGTATTGCGCAACGATTGCCCCGCGGGAGCAACTGACTGCCGAGTGACATGGCTACGCGTGATGAATTATTATGTCGTTCTAAGTGATTAAAGTCAAGATGCTTGAATATGATTGATTTGGGAATTTGCAGCCGTCGGCAGGGTACCTATTTTGTTTTGATTGCTGACAGTGGTACGTTTGAAGTCGATAAAATCGCTGATTTGTCCATGCCGATTAGAATTGAACATCCGTTTCTGGTCAACGGTTGCATATGGTACGTAGGTATGCATACCAGTGAACGTCGCCCATGAATATGCAGAGTATTTAATCATGCGATGCTCGTCCACCAGCATTGGCCCTGCGTCCCACGTCACTGCTGCTGGCCGTCCCCATGCCTTTCTGGGCTATAGTTGACTTTCCCCCATCAGCGTCAGCTTCTCTTGGGCAATGTTGCCGTCTCTTTCCTCGCCACTAACTCATCTCTCCCCCCCCCCCCCCCCCGTGTCGCCAGTGGTGAACCGCACGCACCCGGAGCAGCGAGCCGACCCCTTCACTCCGGCCGGCGTGGTCACCTGTCTGCTGCGACTCGGCTGGCTGATTCGGCGCGACGAGCAGGACACGCACGAGATGTTCTACGTGCTGGTGAGCACTCTGCAGGAGGAGCCTCCGCCGGCAGCAGCACTCTCCGCTGATGGGCTCCGCGCCGGAGAGGGATCGGTGGAAGCGGACACTGGAGAGCCGCTGGTGGATTGGGGCGCCCTCGGAGCCAGGATGCGCGGAGATGCCAGAGACATCTGTGGCGCGGGATTGACGAGAGGCGGCGCGGGCGTGACGAGTGGCGCCCCTGGGACGGAGAGGAACGGTGGTGGAAAGAGGCCGGTTTCTCTGGTAAGGCAGGAGCGGAGTAAGAGGATGGAGACGGTGGCGGGGACTGGTGTCCAGTCTCCCTCGATGCCGGACGGTGTGACTGGTCCGTGTGACGCTGTAGGCGATCGGCTGCCCCGTGAGAACGGTGACTCGGCTTCCACGCCGGCCAGTGATGATGACGGTGGTACGGCAGTTTCTCCGGACGAACGGGGTGACCAGTTGAAGGAGTCGACGGCATCTACTGACTCTGCGACGTCCACCTCGCGGGGAGGATCTCAAGCGACATCGCCAGAGTCTCGGCCAGCCACCGACAGCAGCAGTCATGCCGCGTCGCTCGCTGACAGTCCTCCAGGGCCCAGCGGTGCCCCGACCGCCACCAAGAGCCCCACGGAGAGCTCTATCTCTCCTGTGGCGAGCTCTCCGGCGACTGGAACCTCCCGCGGGGCGGTAGGTCGCCGTCAGCTGCAGGGTATCGTGCACCGGGTGCGGGGTGTCGGCGCACCCGGCTGGCGCAGCTCACCGAGCGCTCTGAGATCACCCTTCACCGGCACCGTCTCCACTCAGCTGGTCTGCCAGGCCTGCGGGCACAAGGTGAGTCGAGCGCGGCCGCTCCCCGGGGGAAGGAGAGGGGGAGGGTGAATGTTGGGGACTTAAGTATCTGACGAACGTTAGACTATTTCTTGGGGTATTGTTGACCCGCATATTGCCTCGCAGTTGACGCACCCACCGAACTTAGTGCGGTGACACTGTTGAATGCTCAATGCTCCTATAGTGCAGCAGCTTTTGCGCTAGTTTTGCTTTCAATTTCGGACAGTTTTCCTAGCTCATCTCTTTTTGCTATAAATATCCTGCCTTGTGAACTCAAATTGCCCTGAATAGATGGTAGGCGACTCGTGATATGGAGTTCAGACTGTTGCTTTCGTTATCGGCGAGTCTGTACTATTTTCATCTGGATATTGCCTTATTTTAGCTAACCTGCTTGCAACTTGCAAGCGATCGGAGTTTAATTCTGCATCAACATTTGAGCCGTAAACGGCGGTGTCTATCCAGGCATGAGGCAGTGAATCGCTAGCCACTATCTCTTTTTATCGGCGGAAAACTTTAGCGCCGGTACACCGCCGGGCTGATGAGATACAAGAGCGGCAATTTATTGTGGCGGACGAGCGGTGGTGGTGCGGTCGATACCTGTCTGACGGTAATTTGTCCGCGCTTGGACCACCGAGATATCGACTGGCAGTCATTAAATTTGTGGACAAGGCGGTTCGACGGTAACCACACTGGTTCGAACACCGGGAATGGATTCGGCAGCGATAAAAACAGGCGGCGATGTAACTCAGGCGCCCGCTTTACTGAGTGAGAGTGGTTCGCTGGCTAAAATTAGACACAAGGATGGGTTGATGGCCCTAAGTCGCTATTTCAGTCAGCTGTGCCGGAGTTCAATGAGCTGAATCTGCCCTTGTTAGATATTTTGCCGACTAGTGATCAAATGAATGTGTTTTTAGTAAATCCATAATAGTAAATCCACAGCAAATCCATAATTGTTACGGAGCGAGCGAAGCGAGCGTACAGTAGTCTTTCTGCTGGGGGAGGGGGGTGTTTGAACACCCCCCTTTCTAACTCGGCTCCTGGGCCACGTAGCGATACGCGGAAGGCGGTGTTCGAAAGAGCGTCAAAAATAATGAGGAAATCACTTCGGTCAATTTTTTGGTCAGGTCAAAGGTCAGGTCACCGAAGGTCATTGAAGGCAAAATTTCGCCGATTTCCAGGTCGAATATCAAAATTTGAACCCATCCGTTCGGAAAAAAAAAGACAGGAGGTCAGAATCCACCCTCTCCCCATTAGGGCGCGTTCGGCCGAATGGGGTCTTTGTAGTCTTTCCTTAGATTAACGGAAATTTCTGAGTATGAGCGGCCGGCCGGCCGTGGTCACGCTTTTGCGAGGCTTATATCTCAGCAACCACTTGACCGATTTACATGCGGTAATTTTTGTAGGGTAGCTTCATTCCTTCTACCAAGTATTGGACTATTCCCGATGCATGTGGGTGACCCCTTATGCACGTGCCACGTGCAAAACGAAGAGGTGTCACTTTTGCAATTGTTGCAATATCTCGGTAACTACTTGGCCGATTGCGCTGAAAGTTGGCATGTAGGTAGGCACCCACTATGAAATGCATATCCATGTGCCAGAGTTGAGGTGCTGCTGCACGTGCGCACGTGCAGGGGTCGATTCCAGATCTCGAGAACGGCTGGATCGATGGCGCTCAAATTTGGTACATGGTTAGGGACCGGTTAGTAGGGTGCCGTGCAAAAGTCAGTTGGGACCCATTTTGCACGTGCGCACGTGCAGGGTGCCGCCTCCAGATCTCGAGAACGGCTGGGCCGATTGTGCTCAAATTTGGCACATCGCTAGAGACCGGTTAGTAGGGTGCCGTGCACAACTCAGTTGGAGGTACCCCCTCGCAATTTCGCACGTGCAAGGCTCACCCTCTCGCTCGCTCCGTTAGTCGCCCCAAAAGGCGTTATACTGGTTTATGTACTTATTTGATTGAGTGCTGCCGAACAGTTTATTTCAGGCATACCTAAAGGTATCACACTCGTTCCGTTTTCGTCTCGATCCTGCTTACGGTTTTCTTGTTTTGCATGTGTTCTAGATTTGGGCACGATTTTATCGTCTCAGGCTGAAATTAAATGGCATGCTTTGGCCAACTATTTTTTTGCTTTGAATTAGAGATTGCAATCCCGGGATCGGGATCCCGGAATCCCGGCGGGATTTTAATCCCGATCCCGATCCCGAAATTCCGCCAATCCCGGGATCCCGAAAAAAATCAGTTTTTCACCATAAAAAGAATGCAGCCGCTGCACGAGTCTTGTTTACACTGTTCATGGTGCTTAGTGACATAAAGCAGAGAAACTATTTAGCTGGCACCCCGTACCGGCCGTCCACAATTGACCGTGTTGGTAGCTCCCGGGTATCACCCACAGCGGATAAGCCGCTTAAATGTGTACGAAAAAGGGTCCCGAACGTCAAAAAATTGCAGCATCAGTGCAGCAACATCTCTATCAGGATCACGGATCGTGGAGTTAAGCGATTCTGACTTGTCCGTCCGTGGCCGGAACAAAAGAGGTCATCAAGACAGTGTTTGAGCTCGTGTCGCAGAAAAATGCCACAGATGTCGGCGCAAGTGACGGCAGAGCTCACTGATTCAAACGTTGAAGACGGTAGGGTGGAGCTCTCCCAGTCAGTGACTCTGCCCTCAAAGCGACTTTGGAGCAAAATCTGAGAGACATTAGTGATGAAAGCGGAACCGGAAGGTGAAGTGACCAATCGACGTCTTGAAAACATTGTGAAATAGGGAGCTGCCAAATTTTGCGTACACTGGTCGCGAGTTTTAACCCGCGCACCGACGGGGGTCTGCGCCAACTTAGTACCGACGGGGGGGGGGCGGATGACCGCCCCCCCCTGAGATCTCGAGAACGAAGCAAGATAGCGACAAGCGGTAAACGGCATCGGATACGCACGGTCAAGATCTACAATTTTTACTAAGGTCATTTTCAGGTCAGGTCAAAGATGACGTCACAGGGGTCGAAAAAGTCAAAATGGCGGCGCTAAATATGGAGAGAGTTTTTCTCGAATAACTTTCGAATTAGTCAAGATAGGAACAAACTAAGGGCATCATCGTGATCCTCTCGTCAATCCGCATCGAATGATATATATGTTGACCTCGAAAGGTCAAGGTCAAAGGTTGACCTCAGGTCACGTGACCTCGAGGTCATCATGTATATCATTCGATGCGTCTTGACGAGCTGAACACAATGAGACCATCCACGCGTCTGTATCTTGTTCCTGTACGGAGTTATTGGCCAAAAACCTTTGGTGACCTTTGATGACGTCACATGACCTCACAGCTGCCCAACAGCAAAACAGACCTCAAGGTAGTGAAGGTTGATCGTATATGAAGTCATGTATGGTATATGGGGCCATTCCGACCCGTTTTAGTGGTAAAAACAGGGAGTTGATTTTTCCCCCATTGACTTATAATGGGGAGGTCGCGAAATTGACCTGTCCTTAGGTCACCGACATCAAAATTCCGAGATATACAAATTGTAGCTACTAATGACCTAATAACATCCTGCGACTTTCAAAGGCCTCCGACATCTACTGTAGCTCTGGCACGGTGACAAAGTTGCAAAAAAGTGACTTGAGGTTGGGTCATTCAAAGTAACCTGGTGACCTGACCTTGAAAGTTAGGAGGTTCAAACTTGCACACCATGTGCAAAATTGATGAGAGAATAGTCGCACCAAATTTCGCGGCGCTACGCGCCGCGGTTTTCCTGCTATCCGCGAAAAACCTCAGGGGGGGGGGGGGGCGGATATCCGCCCCCCGTCGGTGCGCGGGTTAAAATAGACAGACCTACCAACAATGGCTTAAAATTGTCGCGTTAATACGAGTAGCGTAGACGAAGAGTGAGTGAGGCGTGGATGTGCTGGAACCCGTCTGAATGACGAGATAGTAAACGCAGTGGTCGGCGCACAGTTTTATTAAAGGTAGTGTGCCACCTTTGAAAGATTTCCCATTTTATTTTTCCTAGGATAAGAAGCTTCTGTTTTTACATAATATCGCAAAAAAATCAAAAATGGGCCTGGAATAGTGCCTTTTTCGCCTAAAAGTTTTTCGGTTTTTAGATATGTATAACAACTGTAGTGGGCTCACCTGCAAACAGGCGTCGGGCAACAATCGCGAATGCGGCGCACTTGTGACAATAAGCAAAGGTCATTATAGTGTTACGACCATACGACGTACGGGAATGAGTTATCAGCTGTCTAATCGTAGACAACACAATGTCGAGCCTTAAACTGTAAGCCCGTATTGGTATTGTTTCTTTTATTTGGCTGTCGAACATTATTTATGGTTTGAAATATGATTTTATGTAAAATAATTGATATGAAAAAGCCGTCTTATAAGTTATGACCCCATTTCACCACACGCAAGTGGCAGAAATGACAATGATCAGCTGACGCATTTTTCTTGGCCGAAGTCAGAGCGCGCGGCCCGACGCACCACGCGTATTTGGAAATTCCGACCTCGACGAGCATCAGAAGCCACCTAACAGGCGTGTTCCAAACCGCAGGAGATGATGATGAACGGGTTTATCGAAACTTGATTGGATGAGCATATCGGTAATAGCGATTTCAGTGTGTGCATTTATTGTTCATAGTGGTGTGAAATGTGGTTGGGGTACGACCGACAACCCGTCGGGGCGAATTTCGCACTGGGGTACTCAAAATTTGAAGAATTTAAGACGTTTCCATGAGTTTTGAAGGTATGGATAAGTTCTAAAAATCCGGTTCTCCTTATCTGGGCCATTAACTCCATACGGTCCAAGAAAGCTGGCACACTACCTTTAGGCCAATTGGGGTAATACTAATCAAATCGAAACGTTTCTTTCGCAAATTCAATCGTGTTTATTGCAAATGACATGGTCTAAGGATGGCTTTTGGTTGCCTCTTTGTTTGTGGTAAGCTAAAAGACCCAAAATATGTCAGTAGGAAATTATTCTTACGACCTATAGTGACAAGACCGGGATCCCGGGATCCCGGGATCTCGAAATAAAACTTTCGGGATCCCGGGATTGTCAAAACGTTCCGGGATTGCAATCTCTACTTTGAATGTTAGGTCCCAAAACGACGTCGTAGGAATATCTATGGCTATTTTACGGCTCATTCTGATTTCCGAAATCAAACAACGATTGATTTAATACCATCTTATTGAATTTCAAACATTTCAGATGTATAGCGAAGGGATAACAATTTGCAAAGTGCATTTGGACCCGGGGATAGCTTTCTTTGGGCCTCGAGATGGCTTGCTTTTGTTCACCTGTTTGTTCAAGTCTCAAAGGATCGGCGTTGAAATTGAATTCTGGCTTAGCTGTTATTTGAGAACAGCCGATTCCCGGCAGACTGTGGGCTCGTTCTCGGCATTGTAACGTATTGATTGCATCGCGAAGGAGCCGGGAAATGGATCGCCAACGATCGGCATCCTAGATAGAACCCATTGACCTTGCACCGGCAATGGCCATGTAGATTGCGATTATTGATCGCTGCGATTACCGTGGATTGTGCTCTAGCGCAAACTTTTTGTCCTATTTATGCATGTTTTGAAAGGGATCGTCTTTCCTATGCAAACTATGCATGTAACATCAATTGGGATCTAAGTTGATAGGTACTCGCGAATCGCACTTCGGTCCCATGTGGATGGGACTTAGATTCATTATTTGCAGACTACAGCGTGTTGATATTCCCACATCTAGCGGGCTTATTTTTACACGATATTCCAATAGGAAGTCTTGATTTATAGCAACGGGTCACGTAAGTGTTCAGTGGTAGAAAAGTTAATAACTTTACAATATGAACAACATATAAACAAATCTTCCAGTCGTTCCAACCGCCTTTAATTAACAAAGACAGTAAAAGACAGTAAAATTAACATTGGGGTCGACGATCGGATTCGTCTTGTTTTTTTTTTGTTTTTTTTTTTTGTTCTTCCGCATCTCGCACCTACTGCAACAGCATGAAAGTTTTGTTACTGATGAATGTCTGAACGTGCCACCCTACCGGCACGTTCAGAACGTGTTAAGAAGGAATCGCTAGGATATTACTGCATTATTGACGTGACCGACAGAACCAACGGCCTCTACTAAGATATTACTGCAATATTGACGTGACCGACAGATCTGAAGGTCGACAAAAGTCGCTTCCTCTCCTTTATTCAGCCGTCGACATTTTCATTGTTACACTCCGCACATGTTATATTATCAATCACAGCCATTGTGGTGTGTCTCGCATGCTGTGCCGTCAATATTTCTTGACACTCCAGTGTCTGTTTTCTCTGTGCCGTCACTGTGTGTCTGTGTATGTGTCAGTTCTCGCTTTATGCTGCGCTGATCGGTCCCGATAGCTCTTCCGCCTCGTGCCGTCTGTCGCCAGCCTACACGCCATCGCAGCGTCTTTTGTCACATTGATGGTTCGTTCCGTTATTGTCAGGCCGCCAGACCTTGTATCCGGTCCTCACCAGTGCCATGTCCACACAACCGTGCGGGGGCGCAGGGAGAGGGAATGCCTCTGAGCTTGTACCCACTCCCGTTCCATCTCACTCGATCACCGCGGCGCCGCGCCGTCCACCCCGCCGCCGTTCTGCTCTGTTCTGACCCCTGACCCCTCCCCCGACACCCCGTGTGTCCGGCAGTGCGCCGTCCGCTGGGAGAACTTCGAGTCGCTGTCCCTACCGCTGCCGGCGGCGCCGCGACTACAGGCGCTCAGCCTACCGACCCTACTCGGCCAGTTCAGCGCGCCAGAGACCGTCCACGATGTCAAGTGCGACTCCTGCCAGCGACGCGGCCGCTTCTCCAAGCGCTCTTTGGTTGCCAAGGTAACGCTACTGGTGCGCCGTATGACGGCCGACCGCCGCCGCGCGTCCAAAGTGGAAATAGCTTCGCATCGACGTCGCTGTCGCTACCGGCAGCGGTGGGAGAGGGGAGGGGAGGGGAGGGAATCTATCAGCGGCAGTCTCGGCAGGAATTGTTTGACGGAGCCTGTTGCGCCAAGATGATGTGGGGCCGTGGAGGGCCTGCTTGGAGGGGAATGGGAGTGACGCGGAACTCGCTTTATAGACGTCAGGGAATACTCCGGGTGAGAACAACAATAGGCAACTTAGATTGGATCATACGTTGGACGCGTTGGACGTTGGAAATCATGCCATGCCTCGTTATTTTATTAGACGGCCTCTTTCCTTTTCCTCCGATCTTTGATCCTTCTACAATAATACCAGGTTCTACCTGACCTGATGGCACACTCGGTTATACAAACGCCATTTTATCGAAGTTCTTTGGCAGGTTTTATGAAGATAAAGCTGTTGACCATCGAGGTGCGAGCTGCGGGTGGTGAGCCGATTAATAGTATCAGATTTTCTCCAATAGATTTATGTTGTTTTGCTTGTTTCCGCCGCTAGCTTGTAGCGGAGAGCGATGGAACAATTAACTAATTTTCTTTTAGTTATTTGTTTTCTATCCGAAGGCAGAGACCATGCCATCCACGAAGTTTGCCTAGGCTTTGCTTCAAGCTCGGTCCCGTTTGACTTAGTCGGTCCCGTAGCTCAGTCACTAGAGCGTAGGACTCCGCGTGGTGAGAGCAAGCGTTCCCGGTTATAACAGTCCGGGTTCGAAGCGCGACGGGCGCGTGACATTTATGGGCCTCCTGACACGTATGGTTGCGGTTGGTGGCAGGCCGTAGCCAGGCGAAGTCAGTGAGGGGACCGGCCGTGCGCGGCTATGTGCGCACGGTAAACTTTGGACTCTAAATTCTGCCATAGAACTGGAATTGCGCGATCGGAGGGTAGAGGGCAGGGTCACCGCAACAAGCTTCGCTTAGCGGTGGCTCTGTCCTTGTGAATCCTTCCTATCAAAAGGTTCGGATTAAATTTATAAAAGCTCGTTTTTATTTTTAGCTGCGTGACAATACCTTGTCTGCTGCCATTCGTTATTATATTCTGTTCCTTATTGCGCGTAAATTATGTGTTCCTTTTTCCTCGTCTTAGCATGTAAATACGAAAGAAAACGGATTCTCAATTTACGTGGCTTTACATGGCTCGGCTTTACATGGCAATTGTATGGCTTCTCAGTATGCCGTTTTCTTTTCCGTTGCTAGTATACAATACGTGGATAACTATTCAGCCATTCTTTTCACGAGAGGCTGTGAGACAAATCGGCTGATGACTACCCCACAATGGGGGCATCCCCGCCGCCTTCCCCGCCGCGTGTCACGTGTGGGGCCCGTGGTCGGGCGTCTGACCCGTCACGTGGCACGTGCCGCCCGACGGCCTGATGGACGCGTGATGCCCTCAGGGGCGGTATTATGCATGGCTCAGGCCGGGGCTTAACGGTGCCGTGAGCGGCAGCTGACCGGCGCCGGAGCAAATGTAAGCCGTGAGACGGAACCTACGTCACTGCACCAATACTCTCATAAAAGTAATTGTGATTGTTGTTGCTACGTGTGAGTGATTGCCTGCTGGTGGGCGCAAGAAAATTTACTAATTTTGACGAAGTCGAGATGTTCGCGAGTCCAGGAATGTTGCTCATACTTTGCTGACAGGTTGTTGTCTGTGGCGTCACCGCAGCGACCAGCCGCTGCCCGTGCCGTCAGGGTGTCTGCGGCGCAGCGGTGTTTATCTCTGCCTTTGTGACAGCCTGTCCCGCTGAGACGGCGCTGCCTTTTGCCGCCATCAGTCGTCGGTGACAGGCTGCGAGCAGGCAGCGACACACTGAGTGAATGATGAGCCAGAGCGCCATCCATAAGCGTGGCCCACTGACATTCAACTTCATTTCGACATTCAACCACGGCTGACTCGACTGACAAAGCATTCTTTTATCTATTTTCGGTGGCTGTCAGATCCGCTAAGTCCAGCCGAGGACTCTGATAGATTCACGTTATCTTATTATCTGCACTTGCCCGTGGCCGCCGGACTGCCTTTCACAGCACTCGGCCGACAGAGCGCCCCAGGGCATAAAGGCCAAAGGTCATGGGGAGCGAGCGGAGGGCAACTGGTGCTCAACGGCCGGTGCTGCTGCAGCGCTCCGAATAATCCCACGTGTGTGGGCTAGAGATAAAACAGTCATGGAGCACCACCGCCTCGCCGCCGAACATTTAGAAAGAATGCAGGTGAACAGCAATTTTGCTGGTGGATAATTGATGCGGAGTTTGTGCATAAATTGTGTATTTTTACCTCTGCCGCTCCTAGACATCGTATGTTATGTTAATTATTCGTGTTATTAAATCTCGGATGCTGTGAGGATGGCAAACAATTTCGCTGTTGTATTTAAAGTCTATAACTAGGAGTTGGCATTTGGTGGCGTGCACCCATGAGGTACAAACTGAGCTCTGTCGGAAATGACTACCAAACAATAAAGGTTAGCCTATGCCTCTTCAGGGTAACAGTAATAAGCTGAATATTAGCATACCATTAGATTGGATTATAATATTATTAAATGAGTTTGCAGCACTGTCTGCATCACAAATGACTAAGTACGGGCCTAGATACAGCCGTTCTCACCAAACCCATTAAAGTGCTAGTCACTAGCTCCAATGGCTGCGCTGCGGCTGCGGCTCCAATGGCAATATCTGTGCTGCGGTGTGTCAGCCACCATGTCTCAGGAGTTGAGAGAGCGGCCACGAGGTGAGACGAAGCGGTGCGGGGCGACCACGGGCCGCGCCCGGGATCCAATCTGGGCCGCACGCAAAGTTGGCCGATTGCACGTTCGCTGACGCCCGGCCAAGTTCGGCCCGCCTCTCGGTCTGTTCTATCCGGTCGCGTCCAGCTTCCGCTCGCTCTGAGTCGTCTCGTCTTATCTTGTTCCATCCTGACGTTTTGTATCGTTTCTTCCTGACCCTCCCTGTCCTGGAAATTTATGTCTGTTGTCATGTCCCTGGTCTTCATCTTGCTTGACCCCTCGCATCATTCTTCGTCCTCGCTGCTCTGTCATAGTCCAGGCTCCGTTTCGGTTCCATCCATTCCAGTTCATCCTGTTCTGCTCAGTGTTCATTTCATACTCTCATCTCAATGCCATCGTCCTTTATCCCCGTCCTTACCGTGCCCACTCCATCCCTCTCCATCCCTCCCTGCACCGCTCTACCCCCCCCCCCCGCTCATCCCCGCCCCTCTCGCACCTCTCATTTCGCTCGGCTGGTTACCGGTGCGTTGCGGAGGACTGCAGCGCTGCCGCCCGAGCCGGGAGGATGACGTCGGTCGATATGCCGCCGAAGTTTGGAGCACGCACCAGCGCCGGGCTATATGCGGCGCGATGCAGTCGTGCGATGCGTTGCCTAGCTGGACGAGTACATTGGAGTAGATCGATGTTCGTCATATTGTGCGTATTACTAGTGTGTATCAAGGCGTGATTTCCACTATGTTTGGAGCGTAGTGGGTGAAAGGCCGAGTTCCAATTTCTCGGTCTAGTTATGCAGGCCGGTCGGTTGGTCGCCGGGCGTGCGCGGGTCTACGTGTTGACGCGGGCGTCTGTCAAGCACAGTGTGCGGGCAATATTGGCCAATGGCGACGGAGTGCTCGTTAATCATGTGTGCTGCAAGTGACAGCTCGCTGCCGATCCGCCGGAGGGCCGGTCAAGGCGGGTTCTGGTGGGATTTTCTGTCGTCCTAAGTGACGGCCGGCTAGGTCAGCTTACGGCGACGCGGCGGCGACATTTGCTGCGTGCCTGGCAACCGAACGTACCAGCCGGGGCAGGTTTATGAAGTCTGTGTGATTGATCGGCGGTGCACACATGCAGTATGCAGCCGACTGTATTGGATCGGGATGGCAGCTGTTCAGTTCCAAACACGGTTTGTGTGACGCTTTACGGTCGTCGCTCCCTGGTTTTACGGTCTCGGGAGATGCTGGGAAATGTGGACTGCTCGTTGGTGGCTACTGTCACCAAGTTTTGTTACCGATGTCCGTGACAGGCGTCAGTTACGACTTTGAGGTCGTTTTCCCATGCCGCCGACGGCCGATCAGAATGGAAACGAATAGGGTGCGGTCTGCGGATGACGTCACAGCCAGTCGTCTGATGTGACGTCATCTGTGAGCCTGGGCCGTGAAGCCGTAAAGACCAGACAGTCGGCTCTTCAGTCGTCGTAAACGACAGGTGGCTGCTGCAGAACGACTTTGTATGTTTTCCGGCTTTGAAGTGTGCCGCCCTTCCGTGACAAGCTGCCGTTTTGCAGTAAAATCTTATAAGAGCGCATCTTACTGTTTCTCTCTCGCCAGTCGACCTTTGAAGCCGTTCGAAAAGGGTGAATAAAGACACATTCTATCGTAAGCTCCTTATGCATTCGGCTGATGCGCAGCGTTTTGTTTAAACAGGCAACTGTTGGAGCGCAGTTGTATTTCATTCAGCTCAAGAGAAGGCTGGGCTTTCAGGAACTTAAAAAGAATAATAGACGAGCGTTTCTCCCAGGCTTTATTTGAAAATGTGACGCCTCGGGCCACTTTACGAAACCTGAGTATTAAGAAATGTTTACTGTGCAGATAATATGACCATCCGTGAGGATAAGTTTATTGTAATGGTACGTTATCAGTAACTCGTGCTGTTTACGAGGCATTCACCCAGGAGGACCTAGCGTTGTACGCAGCTTAGAGACTATCCCACCTTTAACATGGGGTTTGAGTTGAGATAGCCAAGTTTGCGGCGAGGTTCAGAAACCACTATCTATCTAGGTTGCAACCCCCGCGGCCTCTTGGTGTTGAAGAAATTTGTTCCCTTCATTTGAAAATGGGCCTTGTACAAGGCCCTATCTTCAACATGGAGCGACCGTTAGTGTGACGTCACCTCGTTTAGTCATTCTGATTTAAATGGGGTTGTTCATTGAAAAATCGCTTAAAACTTGGTCTGAACTTTGTTGTGGTGCCTACAGAGTAAAAAGAATCAGCTTTATGACAGTAATGTGGCCTGGGGAAGGAGGTAATTTTGGGCTGTGACGTCACATATTTGAAAGTTTGTGTTTGGAATATGGGAAGCCTAAGATGTTTAATGAAAAATAAATGCCAGAACCGTGTTCCTGGTCATCCAATCTATAAAGTCGGGCACAATTTAACTGGTTTTAACAACATTTTAGAAGGTGGGATAGTCCCTTTAACAATCATTTTAACTACGTCTGACTGAAGTAGTCTGGGTAGCGGCTGTGGCAATCGCATGTTGGCGAGATAGGCAAGGTGCCTCAGTTCAAAGTGAGCCAACTAGCCCAAATATACGGACTTCTGTGGTCATTCTGTGTTGACTGAATCCTAGATATTTGCGTAGCCGGACCAGTTTTCAGTGCAGCCTCCTGTCAAAACCATTTATATAATGCTTCCGACGAATGCCTTCACGTGAGTGCCGTCTACCCAAATGGCAGTTATCCAAACCGGTGACTTTCCCTAAGTTTGTACTTAATTCGGGCATCATTTCCACGTGGACCGTTTAGTTTCTCACTCAATAAAAGAGCAGCCTCCCAAGAGACCGCCTGGTGCTCTCGTTTCGAGCCGGTGAAGCACCGATTGCTTGGACAACTTTTCACTTAACCGATTTACTCAGGTTGTTTGGAACTTTAGTGGTAACGAACGATATCTTCCTTTCCATGAAAAAGGAAGTTATTTATTGATATTGAAATTATCTCCATTAGTGCAAGTGACTCTTTTCTTATGGCCTCATTGCGTTTACTTTCCAAGACCCTGGTCAAATAAGCATTTAAATCATAAATGCCTACTTACGACATTCATAAATGCCTACTTTTAATTGTTCCATCAATTATGGCGCGTCAAGTCCATGGCTGTTACGCAAATTTGACGCAGTCGCCTTTGCTTCCACGTCCACTCCTACTCTCATATGACCTCTTCTGACCTGCCTGCTCTCTGTCTCCAGCTACCGCCTGCACTCTGCCTTCATCTGCCCCGCACTACGTGGCAGAACAACGGTCAGGCAGGCAAGCGGGGCGACCATGTCGCCTTCTACGAGACGCTGAACATGTTCCCCTACACGTACGCCGCTAGTGTCACGGTGAGGAACGGAATTCAGCCCCGGAGTGTAGGTACGGCTAGCGATAGATGTGTGTGGTAGAGTAATAGTTGTAGTATCAGTGAATAGTGATTACGTTGTGTATTTGGTGGATCAGCGCGTCCATTGGTAGTGGTATGGAGTAAATGGTCACCGCTCGGCGTTATGGACTGGCCAATTTACAGCTTGACAGATCCAACAAACACTCAATAGCCGTGTTTGCTGAATCTACATGTGTGTATGCAGCTAAGTGGTGTCTGCGTGACAGGTTGATGAATATGAATGATTTCATTACGTCATTCATGATTTCTCGGTTTGTCACAGCAAAGCGCATTACTGACTGATTTAGTTATTCGCCTTTTCGCTGTATTCGAAGCGGATTCGGTGTTATAAGCGTTATTCCGCTCCGCCGCCGGACTCGGGTTGGACCGTGACGTGACCGGTACGGAGGTTCTGCCAGACCCCCCCCCCCCTTCAGTCCATCGGAGTGGCCCCGTCTCTCTCTCTCTCTCTCTCTCCGGCGACACTTGGGCGTCACATCGTCCCCATTGTGCCGGCCGTCTCATCAGCGCAGCGCCGGAACGTCCGCGCGAAGAGCGCCCTTTTACCGGTGACAATCGAACTCTGATTACTCCCGGGAATCGGCAGCCCGTGCTCAGTTCTTCATCGCTCGTTCGGTGTGGAAATGATCCGTCCCTGAGGGTTTGAGCGCAGCATGCCGCGACGATAAATATGGACGCTGAAGTCTGACCAGACTGGCAGTGATGTTCGCCCACGAATACCAAGGCCCTAATCATAATGAAATCTCGCTCAGCTATGGTGTCATCTATTTCTGTCGTCTTTTTTCTATTCAGTGTGTTTTGTCCATTATTCATAGGTAGTGATTGTGCCTGTATCAGAATGTTTCTTGCTACATCACAGCATTATGAAGTGTTACTCTGTCCGACTGTTTTCCACCGTATCGCAGTCTCACTGTTCCGTTTGTATCGCTGTGACTTTTCAGACTCCGTCACCGGGCTCGTCCCATCCATCCGACTCTCTGCGTCACATGGTATCTCAGTCTCACAGCTGTCCCCGTGTCTTACAGACTCCGTCCCCGGGCTCGTCACCGCCGTCCGACTCTCGGCGTCACGTGTACCGGCTAACGGCCGTCATCGTCCACTCGGGAGGCGCCCATTCGGGCCACTTTGTCACCTACCGGCGCCGCGCTGACCCCACCGACTCCAGGTGAGCCGACACCTCACCTCACCTACCGCCGAGCCCGCAAACTCCGGGTGAGCTAGCAGCCTACTGACCCCAGAATCCAGGTGACATAACACCCTACCGACTTCAGAATCCAGGTGACAGATACCCTACCGACCCTAGAATTCAGGTGACATAACACCCTATCGCCGCCGCGCCAACCCCGCCTTCGCCAGGTGAGCTAGCACCTTATTCGGTCACCTAACGACACCGCCAATGCCAGGTGAATTAGAACGTGTCACCTACTCACGCCAGGTAGGGTAACTCCTCATCTCGTAATTGACGAGGTGAGGAGTTACGCTACCGTATCGACCTAGTCGCCTTTTGGACAACAGGACGTAAACTTCCATCCCTCCCTCTATCCATCTCATAACTATCGTGACTCTTCCAAACTCCAATAGGATGCACTCCGGGCACTACGCTCCCATTCCGGATTTCCAAACACACCCGCCTCGACAACAAAAGACGGCCCCGGATCCCCCACGCCGCGTACCCTCCCAGACGTCCCGAGTCGACCCGACCTCGGCGCCAGGTGCGCCAACTCACCTGGACCCCATAACCCTACCTCCACCGCGCCGAGGGGCGGATTTACGGTAGACCGTGCTATCTACGAAATGGCTCTGCTCGATATTGGATATTTTCTGAACTTCAGCAGCCGTATTGATAGCGTGGTCCAACGAGGTTTGCCCGGGCCGGATGACCTGCTCGCTGACGACATTGAGGTGGAAGTGAACACAGGTTTGATGTGGTCGTGGGTGAGTGTAGCAAGGCAGCCGCTGAGCCGTACTCTAGCTAACACAATGACGCAAGTTGTGTGACATTTGACCTTTTCATTACCGCCGTTGATTGTGATGGGTCGTCAGGGTAAAGGGCAATAGAAGACTGTTAGTGTCCGATGTGACATTAAATTGATCTACAGGATGCATTGTAGGATGCATTGCATAGGATGCAATGCATCCATCCAATGCATCCATGCATAGGATGCATTGTTCATTTCAATTCCTCCGGCTTTACTCTGTCTTGTTTCACCAGTTATCCCACATCATCATCGTATCATACACTTCAGAAACATTCAGAGGAACCGTCTCCCATTCCTATTCCACTCGGGCAGCCGCCTGTTTCAACGCTCCGTCCTTATCTCGACCGCCAGGCGTGGCATGTCCCAGCCTGGTTACGCCCGGTCGGCGCGCGTCGGACTATAGAAGCGGCTCTCCCCGGGGGCTGTGGCTGTGTGTCGGGCCGGAACGCTCGTTCATTGTGACGCCAGTGGCCGGCACTGTTTGTCTGCTGGTGTACACATCGGCGGACGCGGACTGACGGGCACGGGGCGCCGGTCCGCGGGGCGCCGGGCGGCTCAGCGGGCGCCCGGCGGCCTGTTCAGAGGTGCGCCGGTGGCGGCCGGCCGTGTATCCTCCGCCGGAATCCCGCTCCCTGCGCCGCCGAGCAGAGATGTGCTGAGGTCAGCCGAGCCGGCCGGTATCGCCGGCGGCCACGGCTGTGCGGCTGTCTACGCCCGACTCTGAGGGGTTATTGCGGCGGCCGACCGCCGCCGGCACTGTGACCTTTGGTGTCGTGCTTTGTTCGCTGGGACGGTAGACGGCGGATGTCTATTTGGGGAGACGTGGGACAGATGCGCCGGCACGGGTCTGGCAGGATTGATATGGGTTGGAGGAGGTGAATATGAAGCTTTACGTAGTCATCCGAAAACGTGGCAATCAGTTTGGGAGTTTAGGTAGTGATGGTAGCTTTAGGTAGCTTAACCCTATTAGTGGCAGGCTCCTGGCTACCCCTATTAGTGGCAGGGGGGCTGTTTACGACCCCCCCTTGATATCTCGAGATCTAACGGGCCGATTTTCAAAATTCAAACGGCATGTGATTTCGCTTAACGTGATCTACATTTCTAAAAAATAAAAATTAAAAAAATGTCAATAGGAGGGTAGAGGTGGGTAAAAACGGGCAAATTGCAGATACATTTTAGACTGTTTATCACGGCCAGGTTTCTGAACCAATCTTAACGTAACTTTTGCCGATCGATAGAGAATGAACCAGGAAGTCACATGGATCCTAAAAATATGCATTTTCAAAAATCATAGGCGGATACAGATCATTGAGTTTGGGGGTACACAAAAAGTATAGTAAATAAGGTTTTTGTTGGTACTGTTTCTAAAAAGGGTGGTAATGGTCTTGTTATGTTACAATTTTCTTATGAGAGAACGACTACAATTGTATTGGTCATGCATAGGCGGTGTCAGGGCACCTATGTTGGGAGGTAAAACATAACCCCCCTTTTTGGACGCCTGGATCCGCCTATTATAGCAAAAACGTGTCAAAAGAGGAGGCACAATAACTTTGTATATGTTATCACATGATACCTTTCATTCACTGTTCGTAAAACTGGTGCATACAGTTATAATGCATCAGCATCGTGATCTTCGCCCAAATGACTCGCTTCACGAATAGGACCCCCCAATTCCCAGTGCTCTGGAGCCGTCCATGGTAAAGTTATGAACTTGAAATTTTCAGGGAATGTGCCCAATTTAGTTTTAGGAAAAGTCAGAAAATTTCAGCATCGTAGCTTCAGCGGTTTCGGAGATATTCCCGAAAAACCTGAGGGGTGGATGAAAACAACCCCCCCCCCCCCTGCCACTAATAGGGTTAAGAACCTCACATTAAAATGCAGCTAAATAAAAGTTACATCTGTCACAACGGCTTATATTTAATAATCACTCATTTGCTATCCGGAATCAAAATACGATTCTTGACATTTTGCCAGATATCTGCAATAACTCGAGTACAGGGAGATCGGTTCGGTTAGTTAGTGTCCCCTCACGGCTCTAACCGCCCCGCCCTCTCCCCAGTTGGTTCTACACCTCCGACACCCTGGTGAGTCGCGCCTCCGCCTCCGAGGTCTTCTCCTCCGCCGCCTACATGCTCTTCTACGACCGCGTCGCCCCGTCGGCGGTACCTGGGGCGGGAGCGTCCCCTGTGGCAGCAGCTCTCCTCTCCCCCGTGGGACCTGCGCTGCTCTCTCCGGGGCCGAGCTCCCCGCTTCAGGGTCCTCTCGGAGGACACTGATCTCGCTTGGAGTGCTGAGCTTTCAGAGCCGGACTGAGCTTAAAACGGGCAGGGCTGGACGGGCTGGACCTATCTGATGAACGTAATGAAGACAGTGATGTTCGCGCTCGGACCATCGTGATCGAGTAGCTCGCTGCGGCTGTGATGATGAGCTGGCGTCCGTGACCCGGTGTATGTTTTGTGCGGACGTTGATCATGTTTGTGTGTCGTGGGATGACGCTAAATGACAGTGAGTTGTCTACCCACGCATTTCCTACTAGTCGGTGCGCCAGTCGCTCGTGGTCGGTCTCAAGGGAGCAGCTGACGGCGGCGTGGGCGGAACTTGTGGCGTCAGCTATGTTCTGGCGCGGTGCGTGGGAGGCGGAGCGGTCGCCACAGTGTGAGAGCGAGCGGCTGTGACTGTCAGACAGGCCCGCTTTCAGCCCGTCGGCCGGTAATCCGCGCGGCGACAGGGTCTGAGCGCCACAGGCGAGAATGGCCGCTCTGAGTGAGCTGGATGGTCTTGTCCGCTCGTCGCAGGCCTCAGGTGACCTTTTAATGAAGACATCGCTGAGTGATACGACTCGGTAAACGACTGGAGTGTCTGAAACGGCTGTGGGGTGTCGTTATTCTACCAAATACAGGGCTTCCGAATAGCTGCGATGTTGATTTTAACTCCCGGGATGTGACGGAGTAGAACGTTGAAGAGAGACGGCGTCTGGTTAGCTGTATTGCTTGACTATCATTGCTGAACCATCGTTGGGGGTTAGCGGAGAACAGCAGATGATGGACAGTCACAGGCCTTACACAGGTGGGTGACTGATCTACGAACTGGGGGTCGAACCACACCGTGCAAAAGACTAGTACCTGATTACAGCCCCACGTGAGTCCGCGTGAGGTCAGCCCCGTCCTGCCAAACTACCCTGACGTGCTCCGAGGCAACTGGGGCGGGAATAATGACACCAAGTACACAATCACACGGCTGGAAGAGTCGGTCGGCACGGGCGAAACGGGAATCGACAACACTGAACTTGACTAGCGACTTGACATGAGGAAGTAGCTCGCAGACTATCGGTGACGTTGCGTACTCCTCTCATGTGCCATCAAACCCAGATCAATCGACTTCACGTCTTACACAATCACGTCAGCACAGATGTCCCGCATTCTCAAAGACTAACTGAATGCTGATGTCTCGTGCTAATACAACAGTCACCAGATAACACTACAAACACCAGTGTCCTAAAGTCTATCACGGAATACGGCCTAAAACGACCGCTCAACGCGGAACGCCAGAGATGGACTCACGTCTCAGCCTATCAACAATAAGAAATTCAACTAGAGTCCTCACTGCTCACAATATTCCGAGCGTACGCTCTGGGTAATAAATCTCAATAAGGTCGGATTCTGTTGCATGTTTTCGCATTCGTAGACATTTTTCTCCTTCAACCCACCGCAAAGTTAACCCTGATTGTTTAATCATGCTCGAATGATGGGTTACTCGCCAGGGAGTTGAGTGCCGAATCGAGCGTTGGCTCGTTCATCAAATCTAATGTAGGGGCCTTGCGGCTATTCAGAAGCGTAAAGCTGGTTCTTCCTGACACACCTGTTGCTAAAGTCGGCTGTTTCCACTTTGCCAAACCAATGTGTGGGGATATGGCGTGACTCGGGTCGGGGCAGAATGCAGTAAAATGCGATGAAACAGCCTGGAAAGAGGCGCTTTGCAGACTGGTGCTGAGACCTGAGTGCGGCCTGCTTTGTGACATGACTAGGTAAAGGTCCTATCCATCAGAACTCACTGATCCTGAACTAGGGTGCCGAGTGCTGGCATTTGCCGTGGAGTGAGTAAAAGGCTTTTGAAGTTGACCACGTTTGTTCAATACTGGTGCGGTGGCCAGGGGCGCGGGAACTACTTTCCGACTGGGGGGGGGGGGGGGGGCACACCATAATAGAGATTAACCTAGGGTACCCCCAAATCTAGTTTTCTCACCGGTTTTAGGCCACTTATTTTTCACCCCTCGGCTTTTTCAACAGAAAAGAAAACATTTGCAAAAAAAAGTGTGGTATTCCGTCTCAAAGCTGTGGGGGCACCGCCCCCACGGCCCCAGAGTTGGTGGGGCAAGCTGCCCCCACTGCCCCCCCCCCCCCGGCTCCCGCGCCTATGGCGGTGGCCGAAACGAAGCTCCAAGGGTCCGTTTTTAACCACTTGTCCTACGTAGAAGCTTATAAGACTATCATAATCTGTGATCAGTGGTGTCATATTCAATGGATGGATGTGATCGTAACAAATGCCTAGCCTGCACTCTGACTTGCTTTTATCTGCGCCGCACGTTTTCCCGACAAGGAGTAGCACAGTTTACTGTTGTGAGTCCGTGAGCCAATGGTTGCTCTTTTAATGGCTGTTGAGTGTGCCGTCTGGGTACCTTAACAAATAGTTTAATCAGTTGGTTGGTGTTAATTTGGGATAGCCGCAGCTTACGCGTAAATTGTCGGTGGGAAATCTAGCTATTCATGACACATTTACATCGACCGCCGATGCTCAACATTATTCCTAACACCATGTCCTCGCCCCGCTCACCCATCCTACAACAATATCACAGGTATATTTAACCGTGAATAAAAACACGCCCATAACCTCCACACTGAGAAAAAAATTGACTCCATATGGGTCAAAACTCTTGAAAATGCTCCCCTGATAACTCCTGAAAACCATCGATAACACCCTTTACAGCAGAGATATTGAGTGTGTTCTAGGGTAACTTTGAGCCTTCCTCATTTTGCGAAAGAGTTTTCAAGAGTTCTTAATGGATGGCGATGACTCCATGTGTGACACCCCATAACTCTGTGACGCAACTCTCCATTACTCCCGAAAAACCTTTCCCGAACGTTCCGACAGGAGTAAAAGGGGAGTTACGAAGCGGTTTTATCATACGTCGCGAGGCTGCCGGTGGCCGCCATCTTTTGCGCGTAGTATACAGCACGTTGTGCGGGGCGGCGGGCGAGGTGTTAGTGAAGAGCGTGTTGACTTAGACGGACCTGACCTCTACAGTGACGGATAATTGGACCTTACTTTGGATTTAAAGGTAAGCTTAGCTATATTTCTCATCATGCTTTTATAGTGCAAAGTGTTATAATGCTGTGATGAGAACATATGGTAACCCCATGTTCTTGATTGGCTGGAATGGTCTTTGTAAGGGTAATCGATTTGTTTCGTTCCTGAGTGAGATAAAGATCGGAAAAATCATGCTCTGAGTTTCTAGGAATTAGCAAATATCATACATAATTTCCCTCGACATGTCAGGTCGCGTGTGTCTCGTCTCGTTCGCCTACCTCTCAGTCTCCTCCCTCATTTTTCCTTCCATCTTTCCTCGCTTCCTTCCTCACTCCCTCCTTCCCCTCCCCTCTCTCTCCCTTTCTTTCTCCCTCTCTCCCTCCCTCCCTCCCTTCCTTCCTTCCTTCCTTCCTTCCTTCCTTCCTTCCTTCCTTCCTTCCTTCCTTCCTTCCTTCCTTCCTTCCTTCCTTCCTTCCTTCCTTCCTTCCTTCCTTCCTTCCTTCCTTCCTTCCTTCCTTCCTTCATCCCTCCCCTCCTTCCCTCCCTCCCTCCTTCATTATTTCCCTCCTTCTCTTTTTTCTTTCTCCTCTATTTCCTCCCACGCAATGTTAAGTGTACCTATAATTTCATGGTTATTAACATTTTGCAGGGGATGAGCTGGAGAGCCTGCATCGCATCCCGCAAGACACGTCGGAAGCCAACGGAGGCCCGCAAAATATCCATCCCACCATCGTGAAAGGAGAGCCGGACGAAGAAGACGCAGTATTCGTCGAGGCCCAGGAGGTGGTAGCGGCACCACCAGACCAAGCATTCCTGCTGTGGTAGGCCGCCTTTTGGATCTTTAACGTCAGAACTCGCCACCGTGTATAGCATATGGAGTGAGATCCCCGGAGAGCGTGCCGCGGCGGAATGTCGAAAGCGTTTGTCAATTTTTTGAGCCTCCCACCGCCCCGGACTATGAATACACATTTCTTGAAATATTTTTTTATCTGTGCTTCGGTACACGAGCTTTGGGTGGTTACGCTATTCGTCCAATATTTATTTTCGAGGGGGAAGGGCTAGAGTGGAGTGATGGGAAGTTTGGGTGAGTTTGATTGGGAGTAACTAGAGGTATACCATGAAGCTGTAAACGGAGTTTTGGGGAATAATGGAATGGAGTAATTGGGAGTAATTATGAGGCAGTAAGAGAGTCATTGAGAGTAATGGAAGGGAGTTTCAGGGAGTATGTTGTTTGTTTTGATAGGGTAAAGGAGAGAAATGAAGAGTTTTCTAAAACGGTAGGGAGAGTTGCAGAGAGTTTCTCGAGGGAAGTTTTGGGGTGTAATGGAGAGTTTTGGAGGCGGTGTAATAAGGAGTACCACCTGGGAGTTTTTGGGTGTCGTTTTGGTGAACTCCCCCTGGGGGTGTCATGCGGAGTCAGGATTTTTTTCAGTGCAGGCCCAAGAGCAGCCCCGGCGGTATATCTAGGGCTTCTACGTAACATTACAACAGCCTGACAGTACCTCATACTTGAAGCCCGACTGACAATCACGTATCGAAATTCTGTCCAAGCGACGACTTCTCTGCATGTGGCAGACACAGCATAGTGCCTCCCATCCCGTGTCCAGTGACGCGTTCCTTATTTCTCCCGACCGCCTACACCGGGCGGGTGAAGGCAGCGCTCGGGCTGTCCAGTGTCCACAATTGGTTGGTGACAGCGCCCTGTCCTGTCCTGTCCTGTCCTGTCCTGTCCTGTCCGGCTGTTCCCGACCAGGCAGTCTGGGGATGTCGCATTTTCCCGCACGGCTGCTGTGCTGTGCTGTCCTGTCGAGACCACGGTGAGCTGCTCCGTCCCGCTTGGTTGTCGCCCGTCGCCAACCTGTAATTAAACCAGAGCTGCCTGAGGCGTACAGGCGACTTGTATTGGACAGAGTGAGGTCGGGAGGGAAGGAGGGAGGGGGAGAGAGAGAGAGAGAGAGAGAGAGAGAGAGAGAGAGAGAGAGAGAGAGAGAGAGAGAGAGAGAGAGAGAGAGAGAGAGGGCATGGGGCCATTATGCAGGATAGTGAAAAAGGGTGGGACCTATGCGCAATAATGCAAATGCCTTCCGTTTGGTAGATTTTCGTCCAGTTCATCTGTTTTTTTTTTTTTTGCGAGTGGTATCATTTATGTTATAGGTATCGCCTCAGCATGACTGATCATAATTCGTTTGTCGCATTCGTATGCTTCACTGAGTTCTGGTAGCTTGGATGTCTCACGGACACGGTACAAGTTTGTTATAACTCCCGGTTATCGTTTATATTTATGAGCCTAATTGGTGAACATCTGTGAGTTATCGGCCATTGCGATCGTTTGTCAGAGCTCGGTCATCGTTTGTGAGCTCTCGGCCATCATTTAATCACACTGTCTGCGAGGCGACGATCGGCCTATCGGGTAACGCGCGTCGCGTCATTTTCCGTATCCGTGTCATATTTCTGACAAGGCCTCGACTTTCAGTAGTGTCTCTGAGATCGAGCGCGGGAACGCATCAACGAGGCGGTGCTGCCCGTGGCGTGTCTCGTGTGAGAGCGTAAAGGTGATTTGTAGATCTTTGTGGACATTTTTGGACATTGTATTTTTGTGGACATATT